TTGAAAGCTCTCCCTACCTCCTCTCCCTCTTTGCCTACCTGTCTTGTCTTTGCTCCTTGTCATTCTGTCTCAGTCCTCCTTAATACCCCCTTCTCTTGGGCTTTCCTCATATGCCGTACATATATTTTCTCTATTCTTTGTGTGTGTGTTTGTTGTTTCTCTATCTCTTCTTCTACATTTTCTTCCTTTCTCCTTTTTTTTTTTTCTTATCCTTACCAGGCCCGTCCTCATTTCAATAATGTGACATAAAATATTTTTAAAGTATTTTTAATTTATTAAATAAAGTTGCTGTGATTTTTTTCACAGCAAATTACTCACAAAAATAAATCTGGTTTTGATCAAACATTTAAAATTTGTTAATCTTAATCAAACACTTAAAATCTATCTCTTGCTTACCCTTAAAAAAATGATTGAAGTTGACTTTTTGGAGGTGGCTGATGAATGGCACATAGCAGAAAAAAAATGGCACATAGCACCTCTTCCCTGCTCCAGAAGAAGAAGATGACATTCCTTTCCCATTATGGTATTTCCTTAGCCATTGATGTGGCTAGCCATTTGCTAGCATGTGGACACGTAGGGTGATGAGAGAAGAATCTCTATCCAGTTCTAGTTAAACATAGAGATGTTCTAGTAACCAGATGGTTTTTGCTTGGCAGTTTAACAAGCAAAGTGTTTATTGGCTTTGGAAACCCATTCATAGCATTGTGTTTTAGGTATTCATGGTTCTGTTTTTTTTTTTTTTTCTTCCAGAGTGTGACCATGGTTTATGTTCCTATCAATTTTATTGTGTGGCAATTATATGTTAATTCTTTGCTCAGCCTACTGACAGAATCTCCTTACCTAATTATGCATTTCATTGTAGACTTCTATGTAAAATAACTGTGTAGTATATTTAATTAGTCATGAGTTTAATTTAAATGAAATGTTTGGTATGTTGACCACATGATTAGCATTTTGTAGCATCTATAGAAGTTGCCTTACATCTTACACATTTTATAATGTCCTGTATCTTTGTAAGGGCCAATAAACTCAGACATTGGGTATGATTCTAAGGTCTGTTCTCAACTTTTAAATTTCCTTATGCATTGAGAAACATTTATGCAATCTTTTTCATCATGACAGAGCACATTAGAAGAATGGGTGTACCCAGTCATCTACCAAAGGATTTGAAATTCAACTTTGATAGAATTCTCTTATGACAGTTGATTCACAGACCAAAATCATTAGAAATACTGTCCAGCCAAACCTGAAATGTAAAACCAATAAATCAATAGTCAGGTGAAGAGCTCTTATTTAAATGTATCTGGAAACCAATATAAATGGAAAAATTAAAATAGCTTTATCAGAAATATTAATCAGTACAGTACCCTTACAATTCAGTCAGATGAGTTAAAAATAATATTCACTGAACCAGAGTATCAATTTCTAATGGAAGCCTTGGGAAAACTGTTAGCCTCATAACTTATGCACAACACCATCTGATTTAATTCACCCAGACACCTGAGACTCAGTTCATGGACAATGATGCTTAGGTTCTAAGCCACTGATCCTCCTGTCATTTAGAGAACGTGTTGGTGAATTTGGACTTAAAGATTAGAAAGAAATCTGCTCATGTGCTGTGGATTGTGAATTAGTTAGTAAGGCCCACGGATCCACTCCATATTTGGACAATACAGGCTGGTCCATTTTGTGATGGCACTGGCCACACTCTTTCATTCCAGGTCTGAGAAGAGCACATTTCATCACTTTAGGATGCTTTCACTTACAGAGAACCAGTCATATGATTTGGTTCTGTGTCCCCACGCAAATTGAATTGTAACCCCCAATGTTGGAGGTGGGGCCTGGAGAGACATGATTCGATCATGGGGGCGGATTTCCCCTTCAGTGCTGCTCTAGTGATAGTGAGTGAGTGCTCGAGAGATCTGGTTGTTTAAAAGTGTATGGAACCACCCCTCCCTCTCTTCCTCCTGTTCTGGCCATGTGACATGCTTGCTCCCTCTTTGCCTTCCACCATGATTGTAAGTTTCCTGGGGCCTCCCCAGAAGCTGATCGGATGCCAGCACCATGCTTCCTGTACAGCCTCTGGAACTGTGGAGCTAATGAAACCTCTTTCCTTTATCAATTACCCAGTCTCAGGTATTTCTTTATAGCAGTGTAAGAATGGACTAATACAACCAGTTTGGGGTTCTTCAAACCAAGTTATAAATTCTTTTAACATTTTCAGTTTCCAAGACTACAGGTAGAAAAAAAGGACGGAGCAGAGAGCAGGGCAGGAGATGATACAGAAATGAGAGCAGGGGAGAGGGGTGTCAGTGCTGCAGGGATTTTATTCTTTACCCAGTCCTTTCATCACAGTGAAATGTGAAATTAGCATGTGTTCAAGACTTATGTAAAATTACACAGAGGTTTGGGGTCAGGAATGAAAGGAAATCAATGTAAATAACTTTTTAAAGTTATATTTTCTTGGTATGGGTGGATATTTTGGAATAAAGGTTCACTGACTATGCTACAGAGGAACACCTTTATTTAATAGTCTCATGATTTGGGGAGGAGGAAGGTGCACAGTTAAATGTGGGCAACATTAATGGTTAATTTTTGCCGGCCAAATTTAAAAAGGTGTTCATGGAGAAGTGTTTGTAAGCCTCCACTGTAACTTTCCATATGAAATCCATCACCAGGAGAAATTTCCATTTTTCAAAGGAAAAAATATGCCTTGATGGTTTATTTCATACTCATATGGTCTTTAATAATTAGACTTCAATATAGAAAATTGCGTTTCTCATTTGAAGAAGGCTTTATTCTAATAAATTCCACTTTCCTTTTTTTATTTTTAGTTTTTTTTATTTTGAGACCTGGTCTCGCTCTGTTGTCCAGGCTAGAGTGCAGTGGCATGATCTTGGCTCACTGCAACCTCTACCTCCCAGGTTCAAGTGATTCTCTGCCTCAGCTTCCAAATAGCCATAATAGGGATTACAGGTATGCGCCACCATGCTCAGCTAATTTTTGTATTTTTAGTAGAGACAGGGTTTCACCATATTAGCCAAGCTGATCTTGAACTCCTGACCTCAAGTAATCTGCCCGCCTCGGCCTCCCAAAGTGCTGGGATTATAGGCATGAGCCACCGTGCCCAGCCCCCTTTCCTCTTAAAAAATGCTACAGCAACCAAAACAGCATGGTACTGGTACCAAAACAGAGACATAGACCAATGGAACAGAACAGAGCCCTCAGAAATAATAC